CATTCATACATACATACATACATACATACATACATACATGCATACATACATACATACATACATACATACATACATACATACATACATACATACATACATACATACATACATACATACATACATACATACATACATACATACATACATACATACATACATACATACATACATACATACATACATACATACATACATACATACATACATACATACATAAATACATACATTCATAAATACATACATACATACATACATACATACATACATACATACATACATACATACATACATACATACATACATACATACATACATACATACATACATACATACATACATGCATACATACATGTATACATACATACATACATACATACATACATGCATACATACATACATACATACAAAAAAGGTTGACAGTAGGCTTTCAATGCTTCATGTTATGAATGGTGAATTTGTCCTATTACACGCACTGCTTGCATTTAAAATCATTAAATACAATACTTGTATGTATATATGTATATATGTATATGTGTATGTGTGTGCGTGTGTGTGCGTGTGTGTGTGTGTGTGTGTGTGTGTGTGTGATATCATCAGATGCGTCGGCCAGTACAAGCACATAAAGTACGTATAATTTCCCACCAACGACCAAAGGTGCATTCCAATGAACACCCAACTCGTGTATGTATATATATGTATGTATATACTCAAACATTGTATCGCCCGACAATACCTATATTAATACCGACTAATAGAATGTACTGCCGATGCCCATGCCGATGTTCATTTTTGAAAGCATTGCCAACACGGATACTTTTGTATTTTTCCAACTTTCCAACATGAAAGCAAGCTAAACTGCTGTTTCGTCTCCAAAAATGCATTCGGTTGTTATATAATGGAACATGAAAATGATATTGTAACCATTTTTTGAGCCATTAAATTTGAAGCAAGTTAAAATGAATATTATTATATAGATGATAATTCAGGTTGGGAGGTCTAAGTAAATATAGGTTGTATGTAGATATGTGTTAAAGTAGGTTTGGAATTATAATGATAGTTAAGTTATAATAGCAGCTATATATGTTTATAGCTATTCGAACTTAAATTTAGACTTGCTCAAACTATCTACACACACACATACAACACACACATACACACACACAGCACACACACAACACAACACACACGTACATACACATACCCACAAACACACACATACATACGCAAACAGACTGAACATAATCATTATTTATTTTAGAATGAGCCCGACAATAGCAACACAATAACATGCTAGACATGCATTTGATGAATAATTCAAAGCCACAGGGGTCATACGACTTAATGATATTAATCATAAAAATAAAATCTGTCAACAAATTTAATTGTAGATTTTAATTTTCTGAATCATTTAAATGGTTAAATATCATTATAATTCAATTAATTAATTACCATACCTCAATAATAATACAAAATACTACTAGCCTACCATGTTCACATCATAATATTAATGCCACAAAACCGCATACAAAATGCCAGTATATAAACATTACAAAATATTCTACATACAAATATATAGGACGTCATACATAATGACATACCAGCACATCAGCACCACAAAACAAATATGCCAATTATGGTTCTTTACGATCAGTTGTATGTTGAGGTCTAACTTACTATGAACTTACTATGAAAAAAAGACATTGAATGTGTGTGTATATATGTGTGTGTGTTTGTGTTTGTGAGTGTATTTGAATAAAGATGTTTCAAGTTGTGTTTGTGTATTTGTCTGTGTATGTGTGTCCGTGAGCAAAAGTCAGCAAATGTGTATAATTATGTTTCAAATTGCGTGTGTGTTTGGGTGTGTATGTGTGTTTTTCTCCTATTTCTTTATGTGTATGGGACTTTATGTTTTCGTGTGTATCTGTGTGAATGTACATGTATGTTTGTATGTTAGTTTGTGTGTGAGTGTGTGTGTGTAAAAAAAAGAGAGAGAGCGAGAAAGAGAGAAAGAAAGAGAGAAAGAGAGAAAGAAAAAGAGAAAAAGAAAGAGAAAGAGAGAAAGAAAGAGAAAGAGAGAAAGAAAAGAAACAAAACAAAAATATTTTTATCAATGGTTGCCAGCATAGAGCTTAACATGACTGTATCGATATTTCAATCCTAACCAGTTTGCTGTCCTGAATGAAGTGAATGTAGGTCCAATTAGTCTCACACTCACACACAAGCACACACGCACGCACACGTACGCACGCACACGCACGCACGCACTGATTCACTGCAAGAGATACTACTCTTTCTAAAAATACTGTGCACAAGTATTACGTGTGAATATTCAAACCCAGCTAACATCATTACTACAAAATGTAGCACGAATACCATTGAAAATAGCGTTATTCAAGTAATTATTGCTATCAGTCTGATTATTTCAAGCTACGAATTTGATTATTCAAATTTAAATCAAAGATAATGAATTGATTCGTAACCATCACCGTTAGTTGCGCCATTAAATCACGTGACATTGCCATACCACCTCATAAGCATTTCACCATCTTTACTTCATCATTACGTCATCATTACATCATCATTACACCATGATTACACCACACAATGGCCACCACACCACATCTCAGCCATCTTCGCGCCGAAGCATCTCAACGCTCACCTCCTACCGCAATAAACAACTGAATAAGCAATCTCCATCTTGTTATCTTCAACCTCTCTCCATCGATCATCAACAATGTCAAGGATATGACGTCACAGTTTTATTGACCAATAGCGTTCGAGAGCTGCAATTTGTTTATTTATGTTTCTCTTCATTTATCTGTTCGTTTACATGTTTTTTATGGGTTTTTTTTGTTTAAATTTATGTTAAAATAAAATATGAAAAAAAAATAATAAAAATATTTTTTACGTTTTTATTTTTCAACTGGCTAGAAAAATAATTTTGCTTGATTGTTTTGCTTGACTGGTTGATGTTGTGTGCGTGCGTCTGGTTTGATGCCTGTTTTTGCCAGTCAATTGAAATTACACGTCCGCTTTTCATTTTATCTTTTTCATCAATTTTGCAATGTTTTTCAAGTTTTTTTTTGAAAACCTTATGCGTTGTTTGTTGCTGTTTAATTGAAGTTTCAAATGTATTTTAATTGCATTTACTTTAATTTTTTCAATTTTTCAAGTTCTAATCTTCTTGATGAATGAAGCATTTTTTGGGACTAGGATTTCTCTCTTTCTCTCTCTCTCTCTCTCTTTCTCTCTCTTTCTCACTATTTCCATTTTTATACTTAGTTCAGTACTCAACATCAACGGTAAATGTTGTATTTTACATACATCATCTTTATAACTATTCTTCTTTTTTTGGTTTACTTTTTCTTTCTCACTCTCTCTTTTTCTCTTTCTTTCTTTCTTTTTCTTTTGTTTTTTTTCAAGTTTTCCCTGCAGGCCAAATTGTATCGAACGGTTTATCCAATAAAACAAAAGTTTACGTTCCATTCATTTTTGTTTCAAAATGTTTTTATAGCAAATTCATATTTTAACAGATTTAATATTCTTTTTTATTTTTTATGGATCATAAAAATTGCGATTAACTTTAAAATAATTTCCATTTAACTCATATAATTTTTATTGTTTGGTTAGCATGTTATTTAAAATTATTACTTTTAACAAAGGAATAAAAAAATTATGATAACAATGATAGTAACAACGATAATAATAATAAAATTTACCAGAAGTGGTGATAACAGTGATTAAACAAAGAGTGAATTTTCTATGGAGCAATCGTCTGCAACTATTAATTTCAAAGAAATATAAAATCCACCGATCCATTTATTTATCATTCAATCCATCCACTCATTCATTCATTCATCTATCCATTCATCCATCCATCCATCCATCCATCCATCCATCCATCCATCCATCCATCCATCCATCCATCCATCCATCCATCCATCCATCCATCCATCTATCTATCCATCCATTCATCCATCCATCCACACACACACAGAAACAAGCAAACAAAAATACAAATACCACAAAACCGACCCATATAACATCTTTATTAATTTAGCTCCATTACACGCATGTCCACGCGAATTTTATTAAACTCTAATGATGATATCTGCCCACAGCGGAAACAAACGACGGAGGAAAATGAAGAAAGAAAAAAGGTGAGAGATACAGAAGGAAGAAGAAAGAGAGAGAGAGAGAGAATAAGAAAAATGTGAAAAAGAGAGAGAGAGAAAATGTATATATAAAGAATGAAAAAAGAGAAATCCGTTTATGTATATTTATACACACACAAACATATGTGCATATATATATATATATATATATATATATATATAAGAAAAAAGAAAGACAGAAAGTGAAAGAGAGAGAGTCAAAGAAAGTGTCGCATATGTAAGGCAGATAAATAAACAAAAAGAGAGAAGATGGATCAAATAAATAGATGGATCGATTGATTGATTGATAACAAATAAAAAATAGGCTGGTTATAAAGGAGGAGAGAAAGAGAAAGAGAGAGAAAGAGAAAAATGGAAAAAGAAAAACAAAGAAAAAGAGAGGGAGGAGAGAAAGAAAGAAGGAACACCAGTTCAAAATTTTTTAATGTTATTCCCAAGCAAGGAAGTAAATAAAATCGATTTTTCTTTTACTCACTCCACCTTTTCAAAGAAATCTCGTCATTGTGCAATAAAAATTGTGATGATGGTGATGATGATGATAATTATGAAAACATGATGATGGTGATGATATGATAAAAAATTGAAATATCTACCGCGATGACTCGACATACGTTCAATTTAAGAACTTATGCCGAATTAAAACTCACTAAAACGATTTAGATTTAGAATTTATTAAGAATGTTTATACATTTTATAGATCGTAAAATTTTTTATAAAACTGTTCAACAGACTAAATCAAAACATGTTAAAATACTATCGGTGTTCAGAGATTTGATCAATGTATCATAGATTATCATAATTTTCATTATCACAGCAAGATACAGATTGACACGCATTATAATCGTCATTAATTCTGAATTGATTGTATGCATCACATAGAGTGCTTGTCACAGAATTACACCATCATTACACCATCATTACACTCATTACACCATCATTACACCATCATTACACTTATCATTACACCATCATTACACTCATTACATCATCATTACACACGTTACACAATTTTTACGCTCTTACAATCAATTTTAAACCAAAAAAGTCTTTCAAACCATCTGAAGAATGTATGTCAAGTACAAGATATGAGCAAACAATTTTTGCCTCGAACTGCGGTAAGAAATATCGCAAATATGAACGCCGGCATACAAATACCGACGCATACAAATTAAAATACCCACAAATAATTACACAAACATTCATTCAAATACATAAACATACATAAACACACATACTTCAGCAAATACTTAAGCATACACACATACAACAGCAAATACATAAATACATACATAAATACATACACAAACATAAGCAGCAAATAAAAAAACATACATAACATACATACATAACATACATAAAAACATACACAAACATACATCAGCAAATAAATAAACATACCTAAATACATAACCAAACATGTACCAGCAAATTTATAAACATACATACATACATGCACATACATACACCAGCAAATGTATAAACATACAAAATTGAAACATAGCGAAAAACAATTTTATACAGCCAAATTGAAGACCAAACAAAACAAACGTCATTACGTAAAAAAATTTATATAGTATAATTTTTTTAATTATAATGAAAAAATAATAAATATTTTCAATAAGAAAAAGCAAATAAGCATTGTAAAAACTCGGTTAAGACACCACTAAAAAATATTTTTGTACCAAAAGTATACATACACATACATACACACATACATACGCACATATATACATACATGCATATATACACACATACATTCATGCACACATACATACAAACTTCTACTTGTGTACAACATTTATGTATGCAATTGCTTGGGCACTCCGACCTTTCTGAGACACATCTTACTTACTTATTTTCCTATTTCTTAATTTTTTCTTTGTCTTTCATTTTTATTGCATCTGTTATCTTTTATTAAATTGCTCATATTTCCATAATTTTATTCCTTTTTTCTTGTATCTTTTTCTTCCTCTTCTCTTTCTCTTTTTCTTTCTCGTCGTTCTCTCTTCACTTTATTTTTCTCACTCTCGTTATTTTTTTTTATCATTTCTTTTTCTCTCTTTCTAAAAAAATTCATCTTAACACACAAGGCCATCCTCAACCAGCATTTGCACATCAGGCCAACTTGACTTTTTTTTGAAAACATATTCAAAAACATTTCGCATTTGAAAACATACACACACACACACACACACACACACACACACACACACACACACATATATATATATATATATATATATATATATATATATATATTCTCTTATAACAATGTAATTTTAAATAAGAATCACGAATAAAAATTTGTCTATTGGAAAGATACGAATGTATGATGCATAACCATGATTGTATAAATGTCACAAAAACGTTGATGTGCTTAATTTAGGCTTTTAAAATATTCATACATGCATAAAGACGCACAACATATCTAACCACCAACCATCCAACCATCCAACCAACCAAACAACCAAACAATCAAACAACCAACCAACCAACCAACCATGCATGCATGCATGCTTGAATCCACTTATCATCTCACGTAAAAGTTGATAGCGTATGTAAGTTACATTTCAACGACTGCGTGTATCAATGAATGCCTTCAACTTATAACCTAATGCATTTCTAGAATATGAATAAAAAAACATTAAAAATATTGCATTAAAGCATGAATGCATACGTGCAGACAGACAGACAAAAAGACAGATAGACAGACAAAAAGACAGACAAGTTTGGAGCATTTACGCCTGAATGCACATGCGTAAATGATAAAGTTCATACGCACGCTGATATTTTTTTATCGGGAGCCTGTCTTTTCTACTACTCCTATGTGAATGAATATGTAAAAGTGATCGAATGATGTGCATGTATGCATGCATGCATGAACTCATGAATATGCATATGTGTGTATCCGTAGTTATACTTTCCTTCTCTCTATCAACTCTTTCTTCATTCTTGGCTTCATTTATACTGTAAATATTATTTATCAGGCGTTCTATTATTGTTTATTATTATGGTGACAACAAACGACGCCAAACATGCACACACAACAAAAGTGAAAGGTATACACGCACACGCATACATACACGCACACACATTCATACACGCACACACATACATACACGCACACACATACACGCATACAATCTCAACACATTTGAATTTTTTTTCAATCTCCTCAATAAATTTCGTCAATCTGTAACTCTTTTTAAATGAACGCATCTGAATAATCCTTCTAATACCTTTTCATTCATTCATTAACTCCATTCATTCCATATTAAAATTCCACAATGCGTATGCATGTAGGTGAGTGTACGTACGTGCGTGTACTGTACAATACGTACGTATGCACGTGTGTACACTTGTATGTTTGTCTCTGTCTGTCTATCTGCCTAGACATCATTTGTGTTAACGTTATCATCATTTTCAGCAGCAGCAGTAACGTTATTAACTTCATCAAAATTCTGCCGTTAAAACAAAATTCTCCCAAGAAAAACAGACGGTAAAACGAATTAAAAACTAACCACAGAATTATTTTTTTATTCAAATAAATAAAAATAAACAAACAAAACATTTTATAATATTAAATAAACATATATAATATTAAAAATATAATATAATATAAAAATAACTTAATGCATTAAACCGCAGAAGTAATGGTCACACGTTAAGATGGGTTCATCGTTGAGTGGCTCGTCAACGCAATCGTAATGAATACAAAACTCGTACGGGCGTATAGCTGTACCGCATTTAATACCCAAGTTTCTCAATACCGTGTTCTCTGGTATTGGTATAAATTTGTCATTGTTGGGAATATGATTGTTGGTAGAGTTGTTGTTGTTGTTGCTGATGCTGCTACTGTTGCTGCTGTTGTTGTTGTTGCTGTTGTTGCTGTTGTTGTTGATGCTATTGTTGTTGTTGCTGTTGTTGTTGCTGTTGTTGTTATTGTTGTTGTTGTTGTGGTTATTGTTGTTGTTGTTATTCATAGTTGATCCCGCAGAGGTTTTGAAATTTTTCACGCGAATGCACACTTCATGTTGGCTATCATCTGCAGCAACTGTCTTCCTGTCGTCGCTTCTCTTGCCTCTACCGCTGATGTTGTCGTTCATCTTGTTGTTGTTATTGTTGTTATCTTGGTTGTTGTTGTTAGCATTTGCGTTGATGTTTTTGTTGTTGGTGGTTGCAATGTTGTTGTTTGGACTATCTCTGTTAGCCTTGGTGTCAACATTCATAATTGTAAGTAGTAACTTTTTTTTTTTTTTTATTCTTTAAAAATCAGGATCCTGACAGACGCAGAAACTGTAACAACATGCAAGGCAGTGAAACAAAATTAAACAAATAAGTGAGAAAATAAATACAAAAAGTGAGGAAGAGAAATGATAAAACATGAAAATAAAATATGTTAGAATATAATAAATAATAATAAGACAAATAAAAGAAAAGTAATTGACGATGGAATATAAAATGAAGTAACGGCAAATTGATAGACTAGATGATGACTTAGTGGGTTAGTGAGGTGATCGATAGATAAAGGCTAGGCCTGTGTGTGAAAAAGTTTAATGATTATTAATATATTTGGTGACTTATTAATAGACTAAATGATGACTTAGTGAGTTAGTGAAGTGATCGATAAAAGTGAGGTGATCAATAAGTAAAAACTAGTTCAGTAATGATGAAGTTTTCTTAAGTAATCGGCGAAACATCATTGTTATCATGAAAGCAACAACAACAACAACGACACCATCACAACTACAACATTACCACAACACCACCACAGACCACCAAAAAAAAAACCTTCCTGTAGAATGTAAACTTCCTGGCCGCCATGCCGCTCAGCTGGCCAATGAGACGTTCGAGCTGACGTACGGTGACGTCATCGTCCACAGAGGCGATCACGTGACCGGGATGGTTGTCCAGGAAATCGAACGGCAAGAAACGGAAGTATATTTTCACGCGTCTGCGTTTGTATGTGGGATAGTGGGGGAAAAAGAGAGATATAGGGTGCGAGAGAGCGAGAAAAAAGAGAGAGAGAAAGAGAGAAAGCAAAAGTCAAAAGAAACAGATATAAATAAAGAAAGTAGGAAAGAAATAGAGAGAGAAAGAGAGAGAGAGAGAGACAAAAAAGTGAGATAGTTTAGAATAAACGTAAGGTTATTTACGTCATCAACATCATCGTCGTCTTCATCATCGTCACCATTCGCCACCATCTTCATTACAATCAACACAAACACACAACAACTACTATTACTACTAATAATAATATTAATAATAATTATTATTATTTTATTATTAATAATATCATCATCATCATCATCATCATAAAACGAGCAACCTTGGATGGCCACGAAACAACTGGTTGTACTCTTCAAGGGAATGCCTTTATGGTGATGGTGATAACGATGGTAACAACAATGATGATGATGACAACAATGATGATGACGACGACGATGATGATGACGACGACGATGACGATGATTATGACCGTCACGATGAAGACAGCAAAGATCTTAACGACTTTAAAAGAGCAGTTTTATGCATAATACGCAATTATTTACGTCCACCCACGCTCGTACCAACTCACATGGAAAAATTCCTAGAACCCACGCACACACACACACACACACACACACACACACACACACACATACACACGCATACACACAAATTTCATGCATGCAGATACAGAAACGTTGAAATAACATTTTTATGGATTCATCGTAGATGCCGGCAAAGGTTACTAGAAAGAAATCATTTGTCGCTTTTATGTGCTTTGTATTAAGATATAAACACAAAAAAAACACACACACACAAGACACTCACATAAATACACACACACACAAACACACACACACACAAAACTGCACACACCCTCACCTCAAATACAAAAGGACGTTATGTAATTTATCAAACTGGACTATATCTTCAAGATGACCATTCCTCTTACTATCGCTACCAGCACCGCCATCGTCATCATCATCAACTTGACCATCATTATCACCACCACCATCATCATCATCGTGACTTTCTTTGACGAGTAGTAATGACGTCAGAGCTTCAACTTCGACGTCGTTTAGTGGCGAGGAGAGATCTCGAAAACCTGTTTGACGATGGTACGCCTTCAAAAACAAATTCCTAACTATTTGTTTACAATTATTTTTTCGTTTAACATACATACATCTATATACAATACAATACATCAGGGGTGGGCGAACTCCGCAAAGCTATTTTATGCGGCCCGCAAAGTCTTGTTCGCCATTAAAAAGGTCCTCAGCCAGACATTATGACCAAAAAAGGAACCGCAAATCTTAAAAAAATTCTCCTCCGGGTCGAAAAAATTTGCATATGCGGCCCTTCAAAGGTAAAATAGTTCTCAATGCGGCCCTCACAGTAAAAAGTTTGCCCACCCCCCGATATAAACGGTTATATTTCTACTTGCGTGTATATGTGTGTGCGTGTATGTGTGCGTGAATTTGTGTGCGTGAATATGTGTGAGCATGTATTAAATTAAGTTCTCATAAACGAATGAAATGGTAGAAGTAGTAGAAGTGATGAAAATGAGATAACGACGACGACAACTCCATGGAGTTTTAAGATGACTGATAGGCATAGAGCTGCATGGAGCTGGAAGACCTATGTTTAAAGCTGTTTACACGATCTCAAATTTTTCATTTCGTACGTTTATGATGTTGTCTGTGTTGTTGTTTTTAAAATTGTGATGAAATTCTCTTGTTAATGTTGCTAATGTATTTTTTCATTATAGTTTGTTAATGTTTTTGTTGAAATTGTTGATGTATTTGCTAGTGCTGTTTTGCCGTTTCTAATGTGTTGCTGTTGTTGTTTGCTTACGTTGTTGACGTTAATACTGTGATTAACGTGGAATTGAAGTTAATGTAGTTGTTGTTGTTGTTGTTATTGTTGTGTTGTTGTTGTTGTTGTTGTTGTTGTTGTTGTTGTTGTTGTTGTTGTTGTTGTTGTTGTTGTTGTTGTTGTTGTTGTTGTTGTTGTGGATTCCTAGCATAGCACTGAGAATTTTGTTGGAGAATGAAGTTGGTCAGGAAAAAGTAATTTGGGTTGTTTGTCTTTGCGTTCTTTTATCAAGGGTCTCGTTATTGAAATGATGTTATTAATGTTGTTATCGTGTTCGTGTCATTGCTGTTATAATTATTATCATCATTATTATTATGATTATTATTGTTGTTGTTATTATTATTATTATGATTGTTGTTATTATTATTCTTGTGGGGTTGATTAGCTTGTTGTTGTTGTTATTTATTTCTGTAATTGTGCTATGTCCCCGTTGTAAGTGTTTTTGCAGTTCATTAATGCAGCCTCCTTTGTTTCTTTCCATCGTTACAGTTTGGACATTTCATATGATGTGATAACGCCCATGATGAATATCAACAAAGACTAAGATGATGATATGATGGTGACGATGACGACGATGGTATGAAAAAGATATGATGATGATGATGATGACGATGATGGTGATGACGATGGTGATAATGATGATGACGATAACAAACAATGACGACGACGATGACGTTGATGATAATAATGATACAATATGGATGACGATGATAATATTGATACAATATGGATGATGATAATAATGATACAATATGGATGACGATGATAATATTGATACAATATGGATGATGATAATAATGATACAATATGGATGACGATGATAATATTGATACAATATGGATGATGATAATAATGATACAATATGGATGACGATGATAATATTGATACAATATGGATGATGATAATAATGATACAATATGGATGACGATGATAATATTGATACAATATGGATGATGATAATAATGATACAATATGGATGACGATGATAATATTGATACAATATGGATGATGATAATAATGATACAATATGGATGATGATGATAATAATGATACAATATGGATGATGATGATAATATTGATACAATATGGATGACGATGATAATAATGATACAATATGGATGATGATAATAATGATACAATATGGATGATGATGATAATAATGATACAATATGGATGATGATGATAATATTGATACAATATGGATGACGATGATAATAATGATACAATATGGATGATGATAATAATGATACAATATGGATGATGATGATAATAATGATACAATATGGATGACGATGATAATAATGATACAATATGATATAATTTTTTTTCTCGGTCATTGCCTTTGATGAAAATATAATTCTAGAAATTTTTTAACAGTTATTCAAATTTTTGTACCTGCGGCAAATATCTCCCTTGACACTGAGCCGGCACGTGTACTGGAAAATTCAAAGAATTCGAATAATTTTTTAGTGTTATTATCACGTAGAAGCCAATCCTGAGCTTTTTCAATGGTAGATAGGAAATTATTTGATTTTTGAAGACATTTGGCTGATGTTTCCAGTGAGCTCTGAAAAAAAAATTTAAGATTATGATTAATTTCAACTTATTTAATATTAATTGACTATAAAATTTTTTAAATTGCCCAAGAATTTCTTTGAAATGAGTTATAAAATGTAAAGTAAGAGATTAAAATCTAACTTCCTTTCTGTTTACACATTTTCCAGTTGCCTTAGCTTTCTTATCCGGTTTGATTTTCACTCTTTTCATTCTTAACAAACAAATTCATTAAGCTTTACAGTCACAACGCTGAATTATTACGTCAACTCGAATTGGAAAACAACAAAAAATAGCAAAACAGAAACAACTAGTGAATAATAAAATCGCTATTTATTAATCTACCATCGAATCCTTGAAACAAAATTTATGACATCAAGCTGTAATAAAGTTAAATAGTACATATCTTATGTTAGAACGGCAAAAATCAAACATTAGATCGAATATTTGCTAGAGTAGGAGCAGAACAAACATCATCATCTCTTGTTAGAAAGTGCTCCAACCAATTCAATTAATATTTCATCAATAGAAAAGGTGAAAAAATTGCCTAGCAACGAGATAATAGCGTGCATAAATTATTTTTCCTATTTTTTTTACCTTTTATTAGTTCATATTTTATTGATATTATTATTATTATTATCATTGTATCACATGATGATTTAGAGGCAATATTTTAAATTTGGCACCTTGAATTAAGCATTTTACCGCGCGTCGTCTGTAATTTTTTAAACATCCAACATGGAGGTCAAATATTATTTTATTTTATTGACTTTTGATATTTAGATTCATGTTTCATTTATTTGTATCATTACAGAAGTTATCGACGTACGGTCCAGATAATAAAAAAGACAAAAAGATTTTGGAGGAACTCAATAGTTTGATGATAAGTATTGCAAATGAAGTTCTTCTCTGCAGACCAACATCTATTTATCATTTTGTCGCCAGGACGCTTGAATCGCAGCTGGACAGGAGAACGTTATGGGAGATGCAGTTTGATAATGAAACCAGTTAGTGAGTTAGATCATTGTTATCATATAAATTTTCAAGGTTTTTACTAAAAGTTTCTACTTCTATGAAGCATAAACTACATAATATATTTTTACTTTTAGTTTTAGTTAGATTTACTAATAAAATTAATTGAATAAAAATTCAGGTGTTTACCCTGAAACGACTGGCATGAAACATAAAGAAACCAAAAACATGAACCCCAACATGTTTTCGAGAAAGACGTTTTTTGAATCTAAACTTAAAAAATCTCATAAATTCTATGCTAGGGACAGCTATCTATCTCATTTAGCCATGAAAAAGTTGGAACAAGAGGAAGTTCATAGTAAAAAATTGAATATAACCAAATTAGATTTGTTGGATAATGATAATAAGCCAAACTATCTGACAATGAATGGATATGAAATAAAACCACAAACATTACCCTATCAAAAGTCTTCAGACAATTCAGTTAAATTTGTTAAATTTAATTACATACCAAGTCATGATTGCAAACTAGAAGATGGTGTATATAAAAAAGTCCTGTCATCCATGAATTTGTTGATTGAAATTGCCAAAAACAATAAATCAACAAAATCTGGTTTCAAATTGTACCACCTGCTGAAAGAAACTAACATGACTCTCCAATATGATGCAAGTAATGGTGGAGTTATATCAGCCAACTGCTTGAAACCTTCCATTTTTAAGAAGCTGCAGTCTGACTCAAAGGCAAGAGTTAAATTCAAAAATGGGGAAGATGTTCAGTCTAAAGATAAAGAAATAAAAAGAGATAATTTCTCAAAGCTTGAAGGAAATGAAGAAAATAACAGCATGTTGAGTGAAAAGAGATCAGAAATGGATAGCCTTGATGGAATGTTAACTAAAAATAATTTCATGTCTGCTAGGAATTCTTTAGTTTCATTGAATGGTGGTAATACTAGTTCAATGAGCATCACATCCGAGTTTGAGTATAACAAAAAAGTCATCAGCTCCAGCAATGAATGTTTAACGTCATTCAACAGCAAAATGAGAATCAATCACACCCCCACCAAAATTGGAGTTGCCTGCCAAACAGCTGAAAACAGAGGTTCTAAAACTTGCCACTGTGGAGTTACATCAGTGAAGATGGACAAGGACAATGAAGGCGACAGAACATTCGAAGATAGCGAAAAGAGATTTGTATCAAATGCTAGTTGGAGAGTCAATGATGGTGAAACAAGATCGGATAAAAATTCCAACTCAGCTGTTGAGGGAACAACGAGTAGGTCATTTATTACTGATCAAACAGCAGATGAAACTTCATTGTACCGTTACATCCCACTCACTCATTCTCCAGAGCAGTTTGATTTTTTAAAATTAGACAAAAGCCATGAAATATCATGCAATAAATACCCACATGTCTTTCAACCGGTGCGCAATAAATTGAACTGCAAAAAAGATTTTATGGGTTCTAAATCAGAATCTAAATTAGTTAAACAGAATTGGTTTGACTATCAAATACGAAATCTTGTACACTCATCATCAGCTCAGACATTAGGTTCTAATAATAATAAAAATTTTGATTCTTTCAGTTGTAAAGAAAAGTTTGAATCTAAAATGGATTTGTTAAAGGCAGTTGATCAGTTATCCAGCAATCCTTCATTGGATCATCACGTTGTCAAGTTCAACAGTGAAGGTGCCCTGAGCCAAGAAAATTCAAAATTTAACAATCATTTGTTTTCAAACTTTTTTGGCAAGGAAAATGAAAACTTGAACAGTGGGGAGTACAATTCAGAAGGCCAGACAGTTGCCTCTAAAAACATTTCTAACTCAGAAAACAATGAACTGAACACAGTTTCTGAAACAGTGACCACAAGATATCCATGGCCATCTATCTATTATCAAACAACTTGGATTGACGAAAGTTACTGTTCGCTAGTTGCCGCCAGTGACAATCCCTTCTTCAATGAAAAGTTTTCAGTGCAAAGTTCGATTGATGCCCAATCAGGAATCAGTAAGGACTGGATAAATATAGATGAAGATGAGATAAATGGAGCAGGTTGGAGTGGTAACAATAATCAAACGCCGCCGGCTGGAGCAATGACTGCTGCTGATGCAACTACTGTTGATTTGGAGGAGACCTCCAAGCAGAATGATATAACAAGACATCATAAATCAGTTGTAACCACAACAGGCTCACTCAACTTGTTCAGGAAACTTATGAGAGAATTTGAAAAAACACCAGACGTTTTGGATAATGGAAGCGACTACATCAAGGAAAAACTCAGCACAAAAACATTCAATCCAGACAAATATTCATCTGAACCACCTGGCAGATCAAGAGTGAGAGGATTGATTAAAATATTTGACAAAACACCAGAAAAAGAAACCCTTCCACTTTCTCTAAGAAAATCACACAGAAGCTTTCAGAAGATAGAAACTGAAGCTAAATCAAGTGAAGAGTACAAAGATGATAATTTTGAAGATGAGACCAACGTACTAAATGTCTGGACCTCCCAAGTAATATTCGATTCTGAACAGTCAGCACATGAAAACGAAACAGATGGCGATATTTTCAATTGCCATGTTGAGGATGTGACCGCTGTTAATGGTACAATAGAAATTCACAATAATTTTTCTGATGACTTGAAAACTCCAAAAACCCAGCAACACCAAGAGAATCCAAAAGATGCGTTGAAATTAAAAAGCGAGACTGACAAGAACATCGAAAGATTAAGCAGCCCTAAATTAGAAGAAAGTGAAGTTTAATTTATAAAAAACAAAACAACTCCATCATGCATGCATTCATCCATAACTACTTCTTAACAAAACGGAGCATTAAAATACATTTAATCATTCAAAACATCATTTGACCAATGAGTTACCCTTAATATTTCTATGAATTTACTATCGTTATAATTAAATTTTAATACAAATTAAATTAATCTATTAGATGAGGGCTATTTTCATACAAAGGTTTTTATTAATAAAATTTACAATTATGATAATAATGCCAGCCATGTTTCTTCTTGTATAAAATAAATAAATAAATATGTAACAATGAAACGCTTTCGATTAATAAAGCACAAATACACACCTCTTTATAAACTATTCATCGGCGTTGTTTGCTCAATTGCAAAATTAAAAATGTGACCACCGTTAATGGTGCAATACTTCACTAATACATCATCCCAATACATCATTCACCGTCGTGCTTTTCACCATGCAAATAAGTGTTTCTTCAATTTCGACAACTTACTATATGAAAACACTTGTAAAGTGTAAATTACGCCCTATATGTTAAAAGTTTATCTCAATAGATTATAAGCTGCTACAGCCAGTTGGAGCGCTACTAGAATGGGATGATTTAGTTTGTAGATGTACAGTGTAGACCCGTGTGCATTAGATGATATATTATTATAGAGAAGACCGTTAGAAATGTAGAATAAGGTAATTTCATGCGAAATGCGAAGAAACGAACCTCAATAACGAATCGTGCTAACAATGCTACCCTCTTTGAATATGTGTTTCATTTATATACTATATACGTAATTATATATAAGCATATGTATATACATATACAACACACTCAAAATAACCATCTAAATTTACAGACATATTTTATATATAATCGTTAAAAATATAAATTCTCAATAAATTTTGTCCAACAAACAACATACAAAAACACAAAAAAAAAGTTAATAAAATATGGAGAACAACACAGAAACATTTACGGACTCGAGTACGTATATATATATATATATATATATATATATATATATATATATGAGGATTGATAATGAACGTTTAGCTCGTGTGCACATAGAAACTGAAAACAGAATTTTTACAAAGATACTTTTTGGAAATAAACACGTACATATAAATTGGTTAATAGATATTAATAGTGTATGTGTGTGTGTGCGTGTGTGTGTGTGCATTCCTTAATTCAATAAAGGATGTGGAAATAACAATACAATAAACAAATTATCATTTGAAGAATTTATGAAAAAAAATAAATAAAAATCTTAAATAACTTAGTTGAAAGAGAAAAAAACAAATGAATAAATACTCAACAAATAGATACGAATAAAAAATTAGGAGGAACATCTAATGATTCTTTACAGTAATATCGACCATATTTTTTCTCAATAAATAAAAAAAATAATTAAAACAAAAAGACAGAAAAAAATAAATAGTAGGAAATTGGTGTTTTTTTAGGCAAATTATCAATGGTTTCTAGTGGATTAATTTGACTGAAAATACAAAAAAGGATAAGGAAAAAAAAATTATAAAATGAAAAACTAAAAAATAGAAAGTATAGCTACAAATCATGTAATCTGCATGTCGTTTGATTGAAATTATTAACATCATACGTAACAGTTACTTCATCTAGCATGGTGAATGTTAGACATATTTTTCTTATATACAAATCAATAAGGGTACTTAATATAAATAAATGAATCAATGATGAAATCTCGCCTGACGAACAAGTAACATAAGCATGACTTTGTTTGTGGAAAGTAATACCAATTAGGAACAAAAAACAAGGAGCAAATATACAGACAGTTTTCGTTTATTCAAAATTTTAAAACAATAAATAAACTAAAAAATTTGTTAACAGATGAAATATAAACTTATTTTAAATGACAAGATATGACTTGTTGACTAACATCGATGGGATTATATCAATCAACCTATAACAAATTTCGTGTCTGTACTAATGACCAACTTCTCTAACAATTTTTCAACAGATTTACTTTAGCACTGATATATAAATATGAATATGTAACAACTTAACAACAAACAAAATCGCATTTTAAACATAATAAACGTTTAAACATTAAATCAACTTAAACGTTATAAACGTTTAAATAGGTCCCACCCCCATGCACACGTTTTTTGTGTCGGGCCAATTGCATCGTCCATTTAAAAGTTTCCCCGCATAAGTTACATCGCCTCAATTTCAATGCCAAATGTGTACCCTGGATGTGATTCTTAAGAGAGAGTGGGTTGCTGAGTGTGGCGTGGCAGATGTGGCAAGTTCGGGACTGAGGTTTTGATTTGTCTGTGATCTTCTGCGACTGACTCATTACAAATTCACAGATGTCTTGCATGAGATTGTTGTAGTCCGCAGTCGAACCCGAAGCTGCCTGGTTGGTTGTGTCAATGAAAGCCGAAGCATCCTGTGTAATGTTTATATTCATTCAATGATTATATTAGTAATAAATTAAAATATGAAGAAAATGCTGGTTGCTGAAAAATTGTGATGAAATAAATAAGTGAATAAATTTGAATGTACTCTAGAAAAATATGAATAAGGTTGATATGACAGAAAAATATCTAATTAACTACTAGACTTTGAATAACAAAAATATGTACTTACATATGACAACATTTATTTATATTTTGCCATAAAAATTACAAAATAATTGATTCAAGATAACTGAGAAAGCAGCACTACGCACAATCGTCATGGCATCTGTAACATTCAATTTCTGTCCATCGAATCTTTTGTTTGATTTTTTATTTTTAACACTGTGCTTTATAACCCTATTGGAATAGCCAGTCATTTGCTCCTGCTGGAACTCAGTGTTTCCATTGTTCCAATCATTTTGTGAAGCATTCCAATCAGTAACATTTGACAGGCTTTGATTGTACTCATTATTTTGAAGGTGGTGATCGTACGACTGGTTGTTCTCAACATCTGCACCCCCTCCACTTGTATCTTTTACATGGTCATCATCTGCTATGTCTATCAGCTCTTGCTTTACTTGGGTGTAATGTTGATTGGACTGATTCTCTATAGTGTTGTTGTAATCATTTGTTGTGTAGTTGACACTTGAGGATTTTGATCTTCTGGAATTAACATTGTTACGTTTATTTCTTTGCAATGGTAAAGAATGATTTTGTGGCGCTAATTCTTCAATATCAGCAGGCTCTGGTTTTATGGGAACATCAACGAAGCACTCTTCGTTACTATTATTTAACGCAGCTGACGAGTTCTGTTCACTTTCGTCGTCGTCAACGCACCTATTGATGTTGAAGCTTGAATTGTTATGATGGTGGTGGGAAATGGAGAACTCATCAGAATCAATCTGTTGGGCGTATTCCAAGAGGGAAGGTTCGCAATTAGGAGTTATGGTTTCGGAGAAGCAGATTAATGTTGAAGCATCGGCACTGCCGATCGTGATTCCGATCATGGCGTCAATACGGAACGACGAGTGCATCGGCAATCCGTTCTTACATAGCAACGGAATCGCGTTTGATAGAAGCTTTTTCAAACTTTCTTTATCACACATTTTCATCGATCCTAATTTAAAGTTTTGACAGTTATTCAGGTTCAAATAATATTTTAGAAATATTTTTTCACAAAATCTGTTAATTTTTTATTTACTAACCAATTTAAATTTACCAAAGACACTAAATACATAAATGTCAGTTGAAAACTTTACAGATACTAAGCATGAAATCCTCAGAGGTGTGTGCTTTCCATCATGGGTTAAATGTTTCAATAATAATAATACTAAACTGCCAAAGCGTCATATTATAAAAACTGGTCAAGTTAATGTCCTATGTATTGTAATGACCAAATTGATGTCCGTTGCTGCAGTGGAGGACGAATGCAGGGACTCTTGTTTGCCCACCACGACTCGAGTTGCTCATATGATCTTCAACCCAATGTCACGACGTATCATGCGATTTGACAGTAGAAAAAACGCTTAGTACAAACTACGGTTATCATTTACACTCAATGGCAGATTTGTATATTTAAGCAAGATAACATTTCAAATAGTTGACGTTGTTTATTTGTAAACTAAAAAATAAGTACTAAACTGAACAAACATCATAAAAAACAATCCACTTCAGGCAAATGTAGCCACTAGAGATTTCACGTGTTCCACAAATGTAAATTAAGACTTATTACATAATTCTTGTTTAATAAATTTTACAAAATAGACAAAATTAACGAATCTCTTAGTTTGATGTTTTAAATAATACAAAATATGAATTGCTTTCAGAGCGTACTAGAGGATATAAAAATAAAATAAAATAAATATAAAATAAAGTATGAATAATGAAATAATATTTTACACTGCTTCCATTAACAATACAAAATTGCTTAGACTAGCTGAATAAATAACTGAATGAAATAAACGAAACATATTAGTAAAATAGAGTAGTTAGTCAAATCACAATCCACACAACAGATGGTTAAAAACTTCGAAATGCATGCATAAGATTAAGAAACAGTTACAACAAAAGATCAGACAAGTTTCATGATGGATATGGCTGAATGATTGTCGTCATCTATCTCACCCTGACCAACCAGTAACAAATCCAATTCGTTGCTCAAATTATTCAGGCCAGGTGGATAATCAAGACAATTTTGAGTGAATGTAATCCTGCTCGGCAAATACAGGTGATCAATTTCAGAGTTCAATCTTTTCAACTTCAGTTTTTTCCTGCTATTTCCAGCTGCAGCTTTTAAATCAATTGTATAAATTTCATTGGAGAAACGACTAACAACATAGACTAATGATGGGTCTTGCGAATGATTCAATGAAATATATCTCGGAACCCACGTGTCTGAATTGAAATGGTAGTTTGTCAGTAGCTGGCCAGTTGGTGAGTATCTTGATAGGTACCACTCACTTGAATGGAACTTCCTGAAATCTACCTTGCTCACACAAATGAGCAGATCGCCATCATCTGATTTCTGAACTAAATTTGAGATGGTATGATTGTGAGATATATCAAGTTTCAACTCTTTTTCTAAAACTAAATTTACTGGATTTGAGTAAATATGAAGTAAGTATTGTCTATCTTTTAATACTGTAACTAATATTTTGAAACTACTGTTAGTAGAAAATGTTTCTTTGTTTGCCTTAGTAACGAGAGATATGTCAGCACTGTAAATGTTTGCATCATCAAAACTTCTGAATAAGTTTGCCTCACAATCACCCTGGTCATCATTCAGGGAGTTGCAAACATTATTTTCGGTATCAGATTCTTCCAAATCATTGAAATCATGCACATTAAGTCTGGAGTTATGATTGACGAAATGGCTGACGAACATTCTGTATGGAAAGACGTCCTTTAATTTTAACTTACTCACTAATTTGTCCTCTACTCTTATCATCCAGAACCCTGGCAAGGCTTTGTCTGAAATGATAAGGTACCCATTGTCCATGGAGATCATGTCATAGAAATGAAATGTGTCCTCATCTACTGGCAACTTTATTTCGAGATGTGATAGGCTCATGAACGGACTTTTCATACTGAAAACAAAAATGCGAGGATTCTTGTGGCAGATGAAGTAAATGTTGTTGTTCACTGTACACAGGCCGATGACTGCCTTCTCTCTTGGAATTGCAATATGACCAACCTCTAACAAGTCAGCTCTAGATGCTTCTGACGGTTCTGCCTGTGGGATATCTTTAAAATTAAAATGTTAAATATTTATATTTGAAGATAAAAAATAATGTTCATGTCTTATAATTTGTTGAAGTAAGATTTGAAAATCTTGAAAATAGTTGAAATGAACTTTAAAACATGTTAATTAATACTAACAAGAGGAGCATGACTTGAGATTTTCAAGATGCATCGTGATGTGAGATTGATTTGTAGACACTAAGCATTCCAGAAATGACATGTAATGCATGTGTGTTTTGAACTCCAGAAAAATGTCAACCAATCTTCTGTTTCTGTCTTGATTGCACTGGAGCCTTTCTATGCTTTGTTTCTCTTTCAATGTTAAAACTCTCTTCTCAAACATCTGAGACAGGAGACCGTTCTTTGTATCAATATTGTTCTCCAAATATGTGTATCTAGTCTGTAACTTACATTTGTAACCTTTAAGTGGAAAAATTTATTAAATATTTTAGCTATCTTATTTCAGAATACAAACAAATATTTTTTAAATTTATAAATTTTAAGAGGTCCTTTGACAACTTGCAGCAAGCATTTTAATCTTGTTATCTGTAACTTATGAATTTGATTATAAAATTATTTTAAAACCTAAAACGGGTATAAATATAACAATCAACTATAATGAACAAATGAATAATTTTACAATTTGTGATTATTTTGTATCAAAAATTTGAATGTGAAAATTAAAAAAGTGAAATAAAAAAGATCTGACAAAATTTCCATACTAAAAATAGAATTAAATAAATCTCAAGTGTTACGCATAACTTTACAAGATTACGTTACAATTACTTTGATTAGAGCAGGCATCGCAAAATGAGTCAACACCCTCAACTGTAGAAAATTTATTTTGTTGAGTGTTTCTCATCTTAACTTTGACCATTCGAGTGTTCTATTAATTTTATTATCAAGCAGGGGTATAACCAACAACTTCATAAGTACATACTCTCAATTGAAATACTTTTATTTATCAATAACCTTGATCATGAATTGATAATATAATCTGTAATGAATAATTTAATTAAATAAATAATCATATAATCAATGAACAATAAATAAAATTATACCCATTTATTATAGTATTATTATAAGAACATTAAAAATAAATATAAATAAACAATATATGACAGATAATATAAATTATGTAAAAAACATATATAGATTTTAATTTATATTATAATACAATAATAATATAATTATAACATATTTGATTTAATAACATTATGATTATATATTATAATTATTTTATTAAAATTAAATTTAAAAATTAACCAATTAAAGAAGCAAAAGATTTTGTGTAGTAGTGTCATCATGTCATTAGGATTAAATTATAAACACTAGCCCACTACTATATATTACTACCTGTCATTTATTTTAATTTAAGTTTTGTTCAAAATTTTAATTAATTAAAACTTAAAAATTAAAATTAAACTTTATCCACTTTTTTATTAAGTTTTAGAAAAAAATACGAGATGACACTTTACATAAATTACCCATTATAGAAAACAATTTCAATCTAACTGCACAGATAACAGATCGCATTCCCATCGCTTTTATTTTACAATTTAAATTTTAAAAAAATAAATTTAAACAAATCTACACTAAATTCACGTACGCCATGTTCGTTATGTTTCACGTTTAAAAGTAAAACTAATAATAAGAATGGTTGCTAGATATCACCAAATTTGAATCATATACTTAGAATCATATAATTAGAATCTCATAACTAGAATAAATTAATAATTAATAATTAATTAGTTGAACTAATCGATTAATTCAATCAATCAGTGGGGCTATTTGACATGCTTAGATTGTTGGCTTACGAAATTGCATGGATTTTAACGAGCAAGCTATATGAAATATTCACTTGACTTAATATGCTTAAAACATTGAAGTAATTCTATCTAATTTTATTTAATACGATTATGTATTTTAAAATTATTTTGTTAATTTGAATATAAAAATTGTTTTTGGTCCGGTGAAATCCGGTGGCTTACTGAAGCCGAAGGTTGGTTTACTAGGATTGAACTGGTCGCCCTTTTTTTACACTATTCGATTATGTTCAAAATTTGTTTGCTTATGAAATCTATCTTCATTATATTCAATGAATATTTTACATTCTGCTGGGGCTCATAGAAACTGGTTGCTGAAATCATACGCTGGCTTACTGCGGGGGCTTACATGGTTTCATAGAACACTTATGAAAGCGGTTTTTTGTACATATAATGCTTCAAATAAATGAATATATTCATAACACAATTATTTTTGTCAATATAAATATAGAAATTGCTTTTGTCTGGTGAAAAATAGTGTCTTACTGAAGCCGTAGGTTGGCTTAATCGGATTTTTTTTTTCATGTATACAATACTATGAGATCGATCAATCAATCAAATCAATCAAATCAATCAATTAATCAATCAATCAATCAATCAATCAACCAACTATTCAATCAATCAACCAACCATTCATTCAATCAACTAAACTTCGAAACTTTCTGATTGGCTGGTTGAATCTGCTATATTGCTTTTTATATAAACATATAATCTTATTAATTATTTGTAATTTATACTAGTCACTTTATTATTATTATTATTATTATTATTATTATTAAAAAACTTAATATAGCGTTCGTTATAGCAGTTTTCACAAACGCTATCAAATTATAACTAATATTAATAACAAAATAGCAAGAATGAAAAGAAATGAACTATAATAAAAAAAAGTATGTCGTTAATTGTCTTTTAAATTCAACAATGTTCAATCGCATTTTTACAACGTCAAAGTTCATCTTGACAAAGTCAATATTTCCCTATATATACAGCAAGGAGCACTGATGATGATTCATTCAGAATCGAAATATGGCCTTATTTGCAACATGAATTCGAAAAATAAGTTTATTTTGAATTTTAATAAACTAAACGTTCACCAAAAAACTTTAGTGAGAAAAAACGAACAACAAACATATTAACGCCAAACATTCGGTAGAATTTATAAAATATTGTAAAAATTATGGTCTATTACCAACATATATATATATAATATAATATATATATATAAAATATAAATTCATAATAAAAGCAACAGTAATTAGTGTTATATATGTACGCACGCAGTTCAAATTTTTCTGGTAGAATTCAAAATAGTTTGAGACCACACCTTGCTTAACATCCTATTCCAAGCCGAGCCAAGCCAAGCCGAGCCAATATGCGTAGATTTATAAACGCTTTTATATTAAAATTTTTCTCCCTTTATATACGAATATTCCAATATAGCAAATTCTCCATCCTATTTAAAAAATTTCTTTGATGCTTTGTAATCAGTCCGGTCACAAAAATCATTATCGATATCGCGAGGAAATCAAATTGAAATTTTTTTTAAAATTGTTCATAAAAGTAACTAGTATATAGTGAAAAAATTAAATTTTTCTGAAAAAATTCAAAATAATTTGAGACTACACCATAACACAATTTGAATGTGTAAATACAACATTATAAACTTATTATAACTACGTATAGGTATACATCTATCTATTTCTTTATTTAGTTTTGCCTACATATATTTGGTCAAATTTATTTGATAGGAATTGAATAAAACCTTTATACCAGCTGATTAACTACCATCCAGTAAAATAACTACTGTTAACATGACGTCATTTCCTCCAACAATTTCGCAACAAATTACCCATCCTATTTAATGAAATTTGATTTTTTTTAATTAGTCAGGTCACAATCATCATCATCGATAGCGCAATGAAATCAAATTGAGAATTTTTTAAATTTTTGAAAAAGTATCTTTATTCATTTTATGATACTACCCGGTTCAATAAGATACTGTTTAGAATCATACATATATATAGAGAAGGGGTGGGCAGACTTTTTGCAGTGAGGGCCGCATTGAGAACTATATTACCTTTGAAGGGTTCCATATGTATTTGAATAGCAAATTTTTTTGGATCCGGGGGAGAATTTTTTAAAGATTTTTCGCTACTTTTTCTCTTCTATTGGTCATAATGTCTGACTTATTTGTAAAAAGTTTTTAAAAAATTTGTGACATATTAAAAAATTTATAAAACAATAATTCGTATTAAGTTTGATCTTGAAAAAAAACCTAGAAACTCAAAAACGCGACATTTTATAATTAAACTTTTGTATCTGACAATTGAAATAAAATGACTTTAACGAAAAAAAAATAAAATAAAATTAGTCTAATTGACGTGAGAATTAAGGTGACTGGAGAGAAATTTTAAAATTTAACAATTCGTATAAATAACAGATTTTTTTGTACAAAAATATTCATAAATATTCGTTGTAAAATTAATAAAACAATGGGAAAAAACATTAGAGTAAATCATATTAAAAGTGGAAATATACATAGCAATAATGATGAAAAAATAACAAAACGACAAACAATACCTATCGTTGTAATAACGTTATAATCGTAAAATCTACACGTACGATTTAACTTTAACCATAGTTGTCATTTAAAATTATCCATATTTATTTAAATTTTTATGACTACACGATTTTTGAAAAAACTTAATACATAATATATAATTAATAAATAATTTATTAACATAGGGGTGAAAAATATTCAATTTTACAAAAAAAAATGTTTTAATTATTATGATTACACGAAAAAATATGATACGAAAATAAATAATAAACATCTTAAAACGTTTGAAAACCGATTTTGTATTTGAAAGCATTACCGATGAAATTCAGTTTCAAACTGAAAACTAACGCTGGAATGGTGATATCTAAATTGGCAAACACCCACCAAATAATAATCTACCGCTATGAAATGTGCTAAAATATTCATCTAATACTCAACTAAAATCCCAACAAAATAGTCAACCATGTTTCCAGTAACAAGCCAATCAATCAGCCAACCGGCAATCAACTGATTGACCAAGCAAATAACCAGTCAATCATCTTTCTGGCTAAATGAACGAATCAAAGAACCAAATAAACAACAGCATCATGAAGGATAATTTTATTATGCCAATTAAATAATAAATAGGCAGACAAATGAATACTCGGCTAACGAACGACCTTTCACCTTGACCTTCACCCCTGACCTCAACCGGACACTAATCCATCAACTCAATATTAATGTAGAAATATGAGTGATAACAATAAATAGGCAAATATTTATTACCCAGCTGACAAAAATAACCCCTAAATCAACTAGCCCAACAGATGACTTTGACCTTTGACCGTAACCTCATCAACTGAGATTAGTGCAGAAATATGAGTGATTGAGTATTAGAAGTTCGATGAGTTCCCTCTCGTACCTCACGGCAGTCAGGCTGAACAGAGGATCTGTTTCAGGTGAACGAAGGAGTGTGGGTGCAAACACAATGGCTAGGTTCTCTGCGTTCATCATGTTCTTCTGCTGTTTCTCTGTTACTCTGTTTGTTGTTCATGTTTATAAAAATTATTTTATTATGTATATTTTACATATCTCTCTCTCTCTCTTTCCCCCTCTCTCTCTCTCACTCTCACATAATTAAACAATTTAATAAATTGACCTGTGCAGATGGGAGATGAGATGTTTGAGGGTGTGATTGTGGGCTGGCGGTAGCAGTTCGAAGCTGTTCTTTATCTGCTCCAACTTTTGAGTGTTGTTCAAATCATCCCTGCCTATCATTTGGGAGACAGCCATTAATGCATTCATTTAACTCTGGTCAAAACCATAAAAATGAATTGCCATAACAACTCATAACATTTCAATCAATCAAATGATTCATTTATTCAATCATTCAATCAATCAATCAATCAATCAATCAATCAATCAATCAATCAATCAATCAACCAATCAATCAATCAACCAAGCAATCGATCAATCAATCAACCGATAACCGATTAACCAATTAATCAATCAATCAGCAATTCAAAAACATAAACCACCAATGAACCGACAGCCACTGCACAAACGAAAACTCACGGACGATGTCGATTACTTTGAAGTAGACTTCAAACGTGATCAGTGGAATAGGTAGGAGTCTGAAATACAATTTAAGAACGCTGGCGATGGTGTTCAGATCGTCGTATCTATCTACTGATATATCTGTTTGATCCCCATCTGTCAAGTGTGTGTGTGTGTGTGTGTGTGTGTGTATGTGTGTGTGCATGGTAAGTAAAAACGAAAGTGGCTTCCAAAAAAAATTATTACAATGGACGCTATTAACTTTGAAAGAACAGTTTGACGTACAGTATTGAAAGATAGCAACATCGTTTAGTTAATTCTATCTTTTAATCAAAGCAACTAAAAAATTGAAAAGAAACTTTGCAATAGAAAGCACTAACCCTTGTCAAAAGACATCCTGATGGCCTCAACGTCATCATGGAAGCCTGCCACCCTGTACAAGCCTTCCGACTCAATTCCTCTCTTCTCAATCTCCCTGATGCACATCTCAACAACAGCTGGAATCAACGTGTTCTGCGCCTTGACTAGCGTCGTCAGGTCGACACCGAACACTCGCTTGACGTACTTCATGTCAGGCATGCAGTCATTTGGCACCTTCTCTGAACATTTCTTGTGGGCATTGAATCCGCAGTCTGTGTTACGAGTTGAGATCAATACTCTATAACATTATTTTCTATAGTAAAATATAATAATCTGGATTGTTAGGCAGCAATGAAGTCAGTAGAAGCGCGACTTTCAGAGAGGGAAAGAAAGAGAGAAACAGAGAGAGGAGAGACACAGAAGATAAAAGCTGCATGCAAAATATGATTGAACATCCCACATATTGTAATGAATAGATTGACAATGATCAAAAGAGTTGAAAGAGCCAACCGATGATTTACAAAAATATTAAACTAGCAGCCTAAGCAATTTTCAAAGCCCTAACAGTTAAAACAAAACAAAATTTTTTTGAATAAGAAGAAACAAAACTGACCTTGACATTTGACGCCCTGAGCAATGAGACCCCAGAGAAAGTTGGCACAAAAGTCACACCAGTGTGGTCCTTTGAATGTGTACAACTGCAAGGTAAAAAATTAAATAATAGTAGCAAACAAATCTTCTGCTAATTCAAAAAAAATCTTTCAACTTATCACACATATGTCAGTCAAAGAACACACCTAAAAGCACACATACCACACACACACACACACACACACACACACACACACAAACACACGG